TCGTATTTTTTTCATCGTCGTCCAAATCCATTTCTTTTCCTAAATGTTCTTTTATAATTTCTTTGCTTTCAATATTATATCTATCGTTATCCAAATTAAATTCCGCTTTAATATGTTCTTTAACAAATTCTATTGTATCCAAATCCATGTATTTTTCTTTTTCATTAATTTCTTTCAATTGTTTGCCTTCAGAATTACTTCTATCGTCATCCACATTAAATTCCTTTTCAATAGGTTCTTTAACAATTTCTTTTGTTTCTTTGCTTTCAATATTATTTTCATCGTTATTCAAATCAATTTTTCTTTCGACATGTTCTTGAACCATTCCTATCGATTCTTTGATTTCAGTGTTGGTTTCCTCGTTGTCCAAATTGATTTCTTTTTCGACATGTTCTTGAAAAATTACTTTCGTTTCTTGGCTTTCCATATTTTTTTTTCCATTGTCAACTTCCATTTCTTTTTCGACATTTTGATCAATTTCTTTAGTATCCAGAATTTTTCTTCTTTCAACATCATCATCAATATTTTTTTGTTCAATTATTTGTACCTCAAGGTCTGTTCTGTCATCGATATTTTCAATATCTTCATTATTTTCACTAAATACGCTTACTATCGGTAAAGTCCATATGTCATAATTCGTTTCGTTATATTTATATAGGTCAGTTTCGTTATATTTTAAGTCAATTTCATTGTTATCACTTGGATCTTCAGTTACCACTTGAAGCATTCCATCTTGGAGGACTTCGAATGTGGTCAAGTCTTCGACTATTTTATCACTCTTTTTCAGCTGTTTCACTTGTTGAAGAACTCGTTCAACTTGAATTCCATCATCCTGTAGATCTGCCTTCAGCACTCTCAAAACCTTTTCAGCAGCTTCGATTTCATGTTTCGAAAGAGTCGGGTGGTTCTCAACATTCTTCTTAGTGTTAAGGTTTTCTACATAATTTTTAATACATTTTGTGTAATCAACGTTATTGGAGTCGAAAGGATAGAGACCGCATTTCTTAAAGCCATTTATTATTGCTTTCGCAAGTTCAGTCTGGTCTAGAGTCTCTTTTAAAAGAGGAGCAAATGATGTTTTTGTAATCACACAATTTTGATTTTGGGGTTTTCCTTGCCAGTTTCTAACGGTCTTTTTCCAGTTCGCCTTTAAAGGCCTAAAAACGCTCACGTCAGCCGGTTGCATCATGTGGGTTGTGTTGGGAGGAAGGCTATATAATATAATCTGATTCTGACTGCAAAATTCACTGACTTCCATTGTCAAATGGGACTTATGTCCATCAATAAATAAAAGAACGGGTCTTTTAATATTATGTTCGTCAAGCCATTTATTGAAACCGTTAGCGATGTATTCGAAAAATACATCACCTCGCATCCACCCTGTTTCGGATCTGCCTAAAAACCAGTTAGGGGGAAGGCTATCTACCAGTGCCTTTGGTGGCCGTTTGTAGGGAAATACTAACATTGGATATACAATTTTACCGTCTGCTGAAAACACCAGTAACACAGTGATCGTCTCTTTTTCAGCAGCCATCTTCACTTCGTAAATATCTTTCCAGCCCTTTGGGGCTAATACCTTTCCGGTCTTTGGGCACAGCGCGAAGGATGTTTCATCGCCGTTAAAGATTCTCGACGGATCAGACAATATATCAATAACATTATTTTCTTCTAAAAACTGTGATAAGTCAGCAAACCACTTTCTGATATATTCCTCCGTTATAACGCTTCTACCTTTGCTCAAGCCCTCAGGTTCTCTAAGTACAATATCAGGATGTCGTTTTAAAAATAATGAGTACCATTTGTCCCCGGGTCGGTTGTTCTTAAAAGGTGTATTGGATCGTTGTTGTTCTTTAAGAATTTGTTGAATGCTATCTAGAAGATCAACTTTTTTTCTTGGAAAACCGCATTTTGCTAAATCGGTAATCCATTTTACCAAATCGTTCTCCTCTTCGTTACTAAGTACTGTTTGTGGTCCCATTTTTCTTGGGCCATGCTTTACTCGTCCATGAATGCGATCTTGCAACGTTCCTCGCGGTACACCAAAAGTTTTGCTTGCCGCTCTAATAGTCGAGCCATCAAATATAGCTTGCATAGCATTATTTAAAGCCTCTTCGCTGTACTGATGGATCGGTCTTCTAATAGAGGCCATTTTAGTTTATCTATAATAAACGGAACATACGCAATAGTTCTTGAATAAGATAAAAAAGAGTGTTTTCAAATTCGGCCGAGTACTGGATGTAAGAGACCAGTAATCGGCCATCTGATATTTCTAGGGGCCGACTATTGGTTTTACTTTAATATTATGGCGTATTATCTTCATAATTTGAAAGTCCAAAAGCAACATTATTGAACCTGAGAATTTGGTCCAAATTGGCTTATTTAGCTTTATATCCAGTAGTCAGCCCTGGCGGTTGACTTTTGGATTCACCCATGTTCTAGATACCAATAGTCAGCCCCCGGTCAAAATTAAATAATTTGCTCAATAACATTGATTTTAGCATTAAAAATAGAATCAGAAAGAAACTAAATACTATCAAAAACATACCTTAGTTAAATATGTGCACAGATTTTCTTTTTAAACGCTAATTTGAATTTAGAAGGCAGTTGCAAATTTATCTTCTTTTTGTAACCCTAAGTTAACCGCCCACCCTTTCACACTGGAGAATTAATTTTTAGTTATTTCTACTACCGCTAGGGGCATCAAATTTTAACGGTTGGTGTAGGGTGGATTGCCGTAAATTAGGCGCTTTAAATCATTTAGATGTTTTAAATCAAATGCTATTTATTTCAATATTTAGTCGAAAGAGGCTGACTACGGGGGGGTGGCTGACTTTAGGCGCATCTACCCTACCTATATTCAATATACTACATTGATTTACAAATTTACTTGTAAAGTCCAAAAATGCAGATGTACTAATATCCGAAATAGGACTCTTCACTGGGGTTGTTGAGAGTTGGTTTGCCAAAAATGGACTCATACTTAACAAGGATAAAACCCAATGTATGTGTTTTAAAAAATATAAAATCTAGATTTGAAAAATACAGTTACATTGCTTAACACAACACTGCCGTGCTTAATGAAAACGCCGTAACCAACAATTTTGCGATTTTTGTTTTACGGCATTTTCTACTAGAACAATTCATCCTGCGTCTATCCCCGGTACTCAAAAAACCGTATCTATATATATACGGTTTTTTGAGTACCGGGGATAGACGCAGGATGAATTGTTCTAGTAGAAAATGCCGTAAAACAAAAATCGCAAAATTGTTGGTTACGGCGTTTTCATTAAGCACGGCAGAACAATTAATGTACCAAAAAGTACAAAGTTTTTGGGAGTTCACATTGATGAAAATTTAAACTGGAATGTACATGTTGAACAACTTTGCAAAAAACTGTGGTCTTTATGCTTATGAACTTGTCTGATTTATGTATAAAAACAAAAATTTATTTCAAGATCTTAAATCTTTAAGCACAAGACATAACTATTATTATTACCCTTATCATAGGTTATCAATATATGAAAAGGGCTGTTTTTATGCAAGTGTAAAAATATTTAATAGTTAACCAACTGATATAAAGGAAATTAACAACTTAAATTTACTTAAGAAATTGTTTAACTATTTTTGTGCCATACTCCTTTCAGGATTTGTTTTTACATTGAATGAATTTTTTACTTTTTTCTTTTTTGTATAATTGAGGAGCATCCGTGCAAAACCGGCTATATCCACTTTAATAAAATGTTGGGAAAATTGCAAAAACTCTCGGTTTCCTGGCCTTTACAGATAAAAGAAAAAGCAAACTTGAATTTTGTGGGCTTTGTGGTACTTGATTTATAAGACATACTTTCGTTTTCAAAAACTTTATATTAAGGCCAAAATTTCAAAAAATGTTTTGTATATAGCCGGTTTTGCTCGAAAACCGAATAAAATGTGAAAAAAAACCTTTATTATTAAATAGTATTAACAAAATAAATTTAGTGCAAACATGAAAAAACAACAAATTTTAGTAGTAGTATCGACATATCCAAGCCACATAATATTATTTATTGGATATAGCCGGGTTTGCTATAAAAACGTGGATTTGGCCGGTTTTGCTCCTAAAGCTACCTTTTAAATGTGATTTTAACATGGATATAGTCGGATTTAAACAGAATTATCTTGGTTGTCGATAGAAATTAACCCAAAGATGCGAAATAAAAAAAAACTGAATTAAATGGATTTAGCCGGTTTTTGCCGAGGGGTCACCCACACCTGGGAATCCCTGGACATTTTAGAGGGGGAATACCATAGGAATACAATGAAAATACATAGGAATACAATAAAATATAATGGGAATACATGGGAATCCCTGAACGTTTTCCCTTTGGGTGGTTGACACCTCGGTTTTTGCACGGATGCTCCTCAATTGTAGGTTCTATTGTAATTTTATGTGCAAATTTTTGAAAATAAACGATATTTTTATTATTATTATTTCTTGAGCGTGGAGTTAGAAGCACGAGCGTAGCGATTGCAGTAACACGCGAGTGAAATCTTGAGATTGGAGGATCCTCTTTTCACCAAAAGTCGCCCACAATATTTTATTTAACTACCGCATACATAACAGTGTAAAAACGAATTGTTAACAATTAATTATTTGATATTTTATCGGACATTTGACATCTTTCAAAGAGTTTTAAAGTCCCTTTTTTCCTTCAGCCCGTGGGCGAAGTGCTACTTCGAGTGGCCACGGTTTAAAGTTAAAAGCGGTTAAAATTTAAGGAATTAATTATTTCGCTCAACTTCCACATGGCTGTTGAATAATAGTACCTATATTGTGTGACTATTCCCACAAAATATTTTATTCAACTACCGCAATGAACTGACATCAAGAGGTTTTAACCTCACTTTTATCCAATTTAAACTTAAAGCCGCAAGGAACTGACATCAAAAAGTTTTAACCTCACATTTACCCAATTTTAACTTAAAGCCAACTTCAGCCCATGGACGAAATAGAATTTCGCCCACCGTTTTATTTTAAGAATGAAATGGGTGTTAATTAATAGGACATTGTGCGACATAAATATGAGTTTGAACATTGTTTACATTTGGAACTACTATTAAATAATTTTCATTAATTTCTTTTGAGAGATGTTAATGTTAACGGAGTTTAATGATTTACGTTTATTTGATTGTGGAAAAAAATAATATGCGCAACTCGTGAATTATCGTCGATTTTAAACTCGCATTCTAGCTACGCTCGTGCATGAAACTAATGCTCGTTAAAAATCAATTAGGTATTTTCCTCACTTGTTGCACTTTTCTAATGCCAAGGATAACAAATTTTAAAAGTTAGACAAACCAACACTTTATAATTTTTCGCATTCAGTCCTTAACAAACCACCGAAAACTTCATAATGATGATTCAAATCTTTGACAGTATGTATTTTACACAACGTTTCTAAAGCACCATTACTGGACGGCGCGCCGTAAAACACCTTTTTCGCACGGCTATGTATTAGGGCCATCGCGCACATTACGCACGGCTCGTGAGTGCTGTAAACGTAGTAACCTGTGCACAAGTAGGGGCCGTCTGTAGGCACCTCGAGTTCGTCTTTCGCTTTGTATTTTGAAGCTCCAAATGATACATTTTTGTGATTATTTTGGAGGGTTGGGAGGATGTTATTTGGGATTCCCCTTAAATCTAATTCGGATTCGTTTTTGGGAGATATTTCTAGGTTCCATGTACCTCCATTTTGGGTTTTAGCTACATTATCTATAGCCACCATGATAGAATGTCTGCATGGTCCTTCTAATTCTTGGCTATAGCCTATGGATACTACGGAGTTAATTTGTGGATCTACAAATATTGTTCCAATTTTTTTCTCAAAGTTTTGGGCTATATCAATACATAACTTTATATAATCAACATGCTGTTGCAATTCTTGAGAACTAAAAAGGGTATTTGTGGACAGCTTTTCCAAATATTTGTTGCTATGAAAGTTGCAAGGCCAAAGCTTATGTACTTTATCATACTGTCTTCTAACCCTAGGAGGTATTTTGGCTACTAATGTGGTTCTAAAATTTCCCTCCAAAAGAGTAACATCAAAATGTTTCCCCTCCAACATACTTCTAACATTATCTTTATCTATACCCTCCGTGGGAAAAATCAAAATATCCCTCCCTCTCACTCTTTTCAAATGCGTCAAGTCCAAAATAGGACACACAGTATTAATGCTGAGAATAACTTTCGAAATATTTTTTGGATCTGCTATTGTATCATAGTACACTTCAATTAAAGGCGTATCTTCAGTCAAATCTTCAGATAATATTGGATAGAGCACTTCACTATCGAGTTTTACACGTTTTGGTTCACTCATTTTTTCCGGTTTTGTGTTGGCGACACTTAGTTTATATACACTTGGCACATATTCTTCTTTTTCCTTTGAGTTGTTGATTCATCCCCAATATAGTTTGGCACCTAGTGTACAAGTTTATATTACAACAAATTAAATAATTATTAACAAACTTTGAAGATAAAAATTGTTATTAAAAATTTTGATTTCAGGATAATATTTTGAGTGATTCACATAACTGATTCATTAGAGGTTTAGTAGATTTAAAAGAGACGTTAATCTAAAATTTTTGTTGCAGAGCAATTTCACCTTACCCGGTAATTTTTGTCGCGTCGTTAATAAAATAGTTTGTGAAATAAAATCGAATAAAATAGTCGAATTTTAGAGTTGATAAATAAAAAAAAAACAAAAGAATTTATAATTTTCAATTTTCATGTGTTTATCATGGACCTTTCATTTTATTTTATGTGAATCACCCTGTATATTCAGCTGATGGTGAAAAATAAAATTCGTCCGAATTTTCCAGTTAAATTAAAAAATTCCATTTCATTTTATGTGAAAAACAATGTACCTATGTGTGATATTAATAGGTAAATAAATTAGAAGGTAATCATTACTATTTAGTTACATCAACAAAATAAATAAATATTAAATTCCTTTTAAACTGGGTACCTAATTATGAATTTGCTGACAATTGGTTTTTGTTAACAGGTTGCAATTCTAATAATTTGTGAAAATATAAAAATAATAGTTACGTTAGCATTTTTTCAATTGTTTTGTCCTCTATTCAATTAAAATCAGTTAAGATTCATTAAAAAACTATTTAAGAAAAAGCATGAACGCAATAAATTTATCAATAAAATAAAAATTTTAAATGACCTAACCTAAAACAATTGATGGCCTTAAAAAAATAAGACTATCTATGTTTTATTGAGTTTGCTCTCGACACATTAACAATAACAATAAATTACGTTTAAACACACAAATCGATTATTTTAGGGAGATTAAAATTGATTTTTTACCTTATTTAGATAATTGACAGGTGTACAGGTTAACCAAAAACTCGCAGAATCTACGCACTTTTTAATTTGCACTTACAAATTTTATAACGAAAAAATACAACGAACTACACCACTGTTAATAATTACATACATCAAATTAATTCTTACTACTGATAACGTAAAAGTCGTGAAAGATTACTGATAAGAGCGACCTCTGGCATTAATTACATTAAGTACTGGTAGAAAATATGGCGCTAGATTTAAATTAAACAGGTAAAAATGTTATCTTTATTATTGATATTATACAGGGTGTCGCGAAAATGGCGCAATAACGCGGTTTTTTAAATGAAAATGTTTGTCTTCTATTTTAAACTTTTGAAACAATTTCCTCATGAGGATGTTTTGAAAATAAAAATTTAAAATTTGTTAATAAAAACAAAGTCTCATTGATCTTTGGAAATACATTTATGCTTTATATTATACTGTACAATATATTAATATATTACTTGGTTGGTTGAATTAAAAAAAGTTGCGCATTAACAATTTTCTAATTCAATTTTTTAAGGGAAATTTAATTCTTTCTACTTTTCAAGTCATGATTTTTTGAATTTTGACAAAACCTACTTATTATAGTCTAAGATCCCAAGTAAGGTCGACCTTCACCCATCTGCTTACCAGATGAAAATTATATTTTATCAAATAAAATATGTTTCTGAACATTATCCAATAGGGTTGCCATAAAAAATATGATCAAGGCTAGCTATAATAAATAAAAAATTAAAAAAAAATAATTATTTTTTTAAATTTCACCGACTTGCTTGCCAAATGAACGAAATTCCAATGGAAAGCATACAACATACAGAATATGTAACAGCTAGGTTGCCTACCTTTTTCTGGTCCCTATTACCTGGTTGCTTTGTACAGGGTGATCCCCTATAATGTCGCCCCCCTTTAACTTTTTTATTTTAAGTGTCCCAAAAAATTTAAAAGTGTGGTTATGTAGGAACTAAAAAATACTTTTTTTCTACGTATAAAGAAAATTGGAAAATTGATCAGTATACAGGGAAAACAAAAAGTTTATTTTTTTCAATGGATCACCCTATATATGAATTTATTTTTCGATTCCTTGTAAAATTCTAAGCATATTTCATATATCATACCATATACCTAAATTTAACCGTTTCTGTAATATTTAAATTATTTTTAAGATAATAAGTTGAAATAGTTTGTTTTTCTCTGTCTGAGTACTTACTACCAGGGGCGGCTAGTGTATAAGGGCTGCAGAGCTGCAGAACTCCCAAAATTTTCTTATTACTTGACTATTTTTTTAATTATTTAATATTTAAGTGCGACAGTGTATAAATATTTCAAACGCAAGGCTGCATAAAAAGTTTTTATTATAAACATTTGCCGTGTCGCCGTACTTGGCCACTACAGTCATCCAAACGACCGGTAAAGGTCTCTAACGCTTAACGCTTACAATACAACAAAGCTGGGCCACTTTCGAGTTCTGGCTCCCATTTCAATACCGTAATTTTGCTCCGCGCCGCTCTTGGCCCTGGGTTAAGATAGCGAAATTTTAGCCAAATCGGAGCTGCACCAACATACAGTTCCTACTTCCCGGTCGTTTGTTTTTCGCTTCGCGTTCCTGTTTGTTATTTTAACTAGAAGACTGTTAATTCTGTGTATTTTTGTGTTTTGTGTTTGTTGTTGTATTCTTTTGTAAGAATGAATGTGGTGTATAATTTAATTATGATTTAATTAATTATCTGTAGGTACCATTTAATTAAATGCCAACTGCGCCACATTTTTTTAAACCCCAGAACTCACAAATTTTACTGCCACGAGCCGCCACTGCTTACTACTTATTTAACAACACTTATTGACATAATTTCACTATAGTAATTTATTTTCAATAAAAATTTTGGTATACTGAGGCTTCTTGATTTCTAACAGTTTAAAAAAAACATTTAATGATGACATTTCGAATGCGAATATTTCAGAAACGGTTGAATTTAGGTATATGGTTTGTTATATAAATTATGCTCAGAATTTTACAAGGAATCGAAAAATAAATTCATATATACGGTGATCCATTGAAAAAAAATAAACTTTTTGTTTTTCCCTGTATACTGATCAATTTTCCAATTTTCTTTATACGTAGAAAAAAAGTATTTTTTAGTACCTACATAACCAAACTTTTAAATTTTTTGGGACACTTAAAATAAAAAAGTTAAAGGGGGGCGACATTATAGGGGATCACCCTGTACAAAGCAACCAGGTAATAGGGACCAGAAAAAGGTAGGCAACCTAGCTGTTACATATTCTGTATGTTGTATGCTTTCCATTGGAATTTCGTTCATTTGGCAAGCAAGTCGGTGAAATTTAAAAAATTAATTATTTTTTTTTTAATTTTTAATTTATTATAGCTAGCCTTGATCATATTTTTTATGGCAACCCTATTGGTTTATGTTCAGAAACATATTTTATTTGATAAAATATAATTTTCATCTGGTAAGCAGATGGGTGAAGGTCGACCTTACTTGGGATCCTCTACTATTAATAAAAAAATGTTAATTGTTTTGGATATAGGTAAATAATGTTTTACAAAAATACAAACAGTACCTATAGGTATACTGTTTTTGCGTAAAAAAGTTTTCAATGAAAATTCTTTATTGTAAGTAAAAAATGCAATTTTTCTGTCAGTTTCTTTAAATACAATTACTTAAATTGTAAATTAATTGTAGGTAGTCGTTTTTTTCTTCAAATAATTGAGGTTATAACCATATGCATATGTCAAATTAAAGCCAATTTAGTCTCATTTTCTAAAAATAATGTATATGTATGTAAGTATACTTAAGTATACTTACATACAAATATATTATTTTTAGAAAATGAGACTAAATGCAATTACATATACCTACATGTTTTTGTGACATAAACAAAAAAATTTGTAATAGGTATATTACACTTATTTGGAATTTCACGTCAAACAAGCTAAAAAATATTTTTTTTAATTGTAATTATAATCTTTAAAGATTTATAAATACTGTGGTAATTTATAGAATAAAATATATTAATTGTTTGTAAATACTTGGTTAGGTATTTAGCTATTTTTTTATTACTAGTTATTTTGTTTCTAATAAACTGTATTAATAATACAAAAATTAAAACTGTATTAATTGTAATAATATACTATTATTTTACAAATAAAAAAAATATTTGTTATAATTTTTGTATTATTAATGCGCATAATCTCGAGTTAATACTATACTATATCTATTCCAATTTTATTTATTTGTTACCATTTTGGAACTCAATAAGTGTTTCCAACTTTAGTTGTAAGCAAAATTTTTTCATTTTAATTAAATTTTTGAGGGTCTTCTGTTGCTTAAAAATAATAAATATTTTTATTAAAAAGCTACAATTTTTGTTTACTAATAAACAATAGGTACTGTTTATATTTTTATAAAACATTATTTAAATCCAAAAAAAAGTAATAAAAGTTTAAAAAAATATATTGTCAAAATTCGACTAAAAAAGTACTCAAATCTTCAGTGAGTCATAATTTTGATGTAGGGAATAACACAGACCAGATGGTATACATATATGTCCTTAGCCTCGAAAAACAGACACCACTGTACACTTTTGCTGAATTGTTAAAACTCAAAAAATCTTATGATTTTTAATTTTTTAATTCTTTGATTATGATTTAAATGGTATGGTAGAAAATAAAACAATATTGTTCATGTAATTTTTATTTATGTCAGTCACATTTATAGTAATAGTAACTACAAACAGTAAAAAACGATTTAAAAATATTTGTTACATTAAAAATTGTAAAAAGATATTAAGAATGATATTACATTCAAAATATCGCAATTAGGCATTTTATACCATGCCCTTATTTCTAAATAAAAAATCACACTGCACATATAAAATTACTATAAATAAATAATATTATATATAATATTATATATAATATATTTTTATAACTATTGGGTATACCATCGCAAAATTTATACCAAGTGGGTTTTAACTTAAAAATACTGTTACACTTTGTTGTTAAAGCATTTATATTTTAAACTAGTAAATAGTACAAAATTTAGTACCTTTTTTCGATTCTGACAATAAAAACTTATTTTTTGTGACCTTATTACTAACTGAAATGATAATTTCCTAATTATGAAAAAAATATTTACAATAAAATGAAAAGTTTTTAAAGCAGAACCAATTTTACATAAAATGCCAACAATAATAAAGATTATTTGCAAGCTTGGATTATTTCATTTTGTACTACTGTATCAAAAATATTTCCATGTGCATATAAACTATAGGTGATTATAAATACAATAATACAAAATATTCTCTAATCTCAATATTCACATACATTATTTACAAAAAAATGGCAAATCATTCTAAATATTTAATAACTTGAAATTTGCGACTTTACTTTCCATGAAAAATAATCTCTTTAGAAAGCAATTAACCAATCAGGGCACGGCAATCTCCACAGCACACTAGGTGCGATGAAGAATGCCGTGCTCTAATTGGTTTATAACTTTCCATAGAGATCATTTTCTAATGGAAGTAAAGTCGCAAATTACAGTAACCCCTTGTGTATGGCAGTAAAACTTAAAATAATAGTTTACAACACCGATTTTAATTTTTAAAATTCACTTAGTGAGTTATTAAATATTTAAACTGAGTTTGCAATTGGGCAAGAACTAAATTCGTCTAATGTAAAATTAATTATGGCTCATTATAAAATAAATCATTAAATAAAAAAATTATCACATTAAATATTATGTACATTTGTTTAGCCATTTTAGTTTCCTTTAATATAATACAAGGAAACTGTTTTTTCCTAGTTGATGTACAAAAATCGTTACAGTATAAAACACCTTATTTTTTATATACCTTATTTTTTTATATACAAATATATAAAAAAGTATAGTGCATTATTTAATAAAACGTAGGTATTTATTATAATTAATTTAGCTGCACACAATACAAAAGCTTAGGATTGTATTCACTGGTATATAATCTGAATTTATATAGTCAAAATCTATATAAAACAAAAAAAATATATTTGCGCTTTAAAATTGAGATCGTTGTATAATCTGCGTTGGATTGTATAAAAAATTTGCAAAATGATTCAGTATCACAAAAAATAAAATATGTATACATATTTACATTAAATTAATAGCAGCCAATGTTTTATGTATTTTAAAGACTTGGTAACAGAAGCTTTACAAACCTAAGTATGATATTGCAAAATAAAATTACAGTATTTAATAATATTAGATATATTAAAATAGGTATTAAATACCTAAAAAATAATCATTTAAAAAAATAATTTAACAATAAATATTTAGGTTTTTATGCTCAACAAAATGCTACATTTAAAATCAGTCTCAAAAATACATTATAGTACAAAATAAATATAAATATACAAGTATAGTCGCAATTATGTGACGGTTTATTTATAAAGAATTTTATGGAATTTTTGGTGATAATTACCTTTTGAGGTATTACATTGGTTTTTATATTTTTTTTTAATACAGTTCCACTTTTTTGTTTCCATAACGTAAAAGTTACAGTTTTGGGAGATCCTGTATAGATTAAAAAAATATTTCTCAAAATTTATAACTTCCTTTTACTAGGTACTGAATGCGAATTTAAGAAAATCCCAATAAACTGACTAGATTTTTTGTACAAAACCAATTTTTGTTTGTTTGAGGCTTCCTAATAAAATACAGTTGTGTACCAGTGGTAAACACAGCAGAAAAAGTGCACTAGTGTGCGTACCAAAATTGGTACACAACTGCACTTAATTAAAGAACTGTGTGTCCATATTTGTTGTGTACCTACTCTAAACGGGCACAGTTTTAATAGGTTTTAATGGTGAGGTAAGAAGGTAAAATTTAGCATTTTATCAAACAAAGGAATTACATACTTTGTAAAATCCAGTCAGTTAATATAAAATTTTAATCAACTCCGCATCTAGAAAAAAGTGTTAAAATATAAATAAATAAGTTTTGTAAAGTTTTCCTTAATTTAAACATATTTTAACAAAGAATCCTGTATTTGAAATATTTTTTAGGACCTATATGTCTTATTTATCCAAGTCCATGCCATGAACTCCATGGTACAAGTTTTTGGAAACATATTAGGTTAGTTCAAAATATTCCACAATAAATTAATAATATTTTTTTTTTGAAAATTGCATATTAAATATGGTAAGTAAGTAATAGTGTGCAACTTTTTAGCACATTTCTACAGAAATAAATGCGAATTCTTTAAAAACCAAGTTTTAAATAAACCTTAATTGAATCAGTGAGATTAAGAACAGTACAAGTCCAAAACTTAAAATAATGACAAAATATTTTATAAAATCAGTTTTATAGTTCTAAATGCATTTTTTTAGAATATTTTAGCTATTTTATAAAATCTATTAATCATATTCGGCAAAATGGAAAAATTCACAAAAAGGTATTTGGAACTTTAAAATTGATTTTAGGAAATGACTTGTCAAAATTAAATTGATGGACTTTGGTGGTAGAACATAGTAACTAAAGTTACTAGGTTTTAAATAATTACTGTATTTTTGGATTTAGCGTTCAAATTTACCTCTAGTAACTATTTTTTATCTCTTTTTATATTAGGGTGGCTGTAATATATCTATCTCTATTTTTAGTAACTTCTAAAAACTCTTAGGTACCTATCCTAAAGCAAAATATGGCAAATAAAGATACTATCAACAATGTTCCATTTTTTTTATTTCACCCAGTAAAAGATAGTAACTCAAGTTGCTAGGTTTAAGGCAAAGTATTTTCTAATGGTAATAATAAAGCTGCTGCTGTTGGCGGGAATATTTTAAAGTTATTAAATAATTATTATTAAGCTTTATGTATATATTTCAGCATTGATTAAAATCTGGCAACTTTAATGTTGATGTTTTATTAAGTTAATTTGTGCATATTTTAATCAACATAGAACTTTTTATACTACTATTTGCTGAATTATGATTTAAGAAATTTGCATACTTCCGAATAAATAAATAAAAGTCTTTTTTTAATAAATTGGACTTTACCAGACCAGTTTAACGTTTGGAACAGTGTGTGTAACTTGTAATAACGGTGTTTTATTATTAAGAAAGTTCAAAATATGTCCAGAAAAACAAATTTGAAGTTAAGCTACCAGTGCCACCATATTTATAATATTATTACCATTGGGGTTAAAAACTAATTAGAAAGGAACAATGTTAAAGACTCTTTGTCCCTTATTTAGAGATTAAAGAAAAAAATTGTTCTGATTTACTTACCATAATATCTAAATGGTAAATAAAATGGTAAAAAACCTAAATAATTATTTATTTTAACTTATAGTCGATTTACTATATTTTACTCAATCATATTAAAAACACTTAAAAAAATACAGTAACTATAGTTAAAAATGCTATAGCAATGCTATAGCAATTGATATGGCCAGCTTTTGCCTAATTACTTATCTTTAAAAATTATGTAGGAATTGATCATTAGATATTTTAATTATTTTATTGCAAAGAAAGGCTATGCAATTTTAGAAAATACGCTGTCCTGAAAAGTTACAAAATCATAGTTACTAGGTTTTGCCAAAGTACGGCAGTTACTGTTCTTAATCTCACCAATTCAATTATACCTCAGAAGAATCATTAGTTTAATTTAAAACCTCAAAACTTTTCCAAATATCCCATAAAACCTTTCACCATAAAATCCTGTATGTCATCATACATAGTTGGTTTAAAAAAGAAAACCGAATAAAAAAATATCTTTTATCGTAGTATTAGCACTCGAATTCGTTGGCCGTGATCGCGTTTAAGGTCAGCATGAGCCCCTCGAGGTTCGCCATCTCCTGATTGAGTTCCTCGGTCGAGTGCGACGAATGGAGGCGCTGAACCTCTTCGGGCGTGTGCGGCGGCGCGTTGGCGGCACTGATCCTAGAGGGCGGCGTGCCCGTCAACGTGCTCGCGCTACCACTTGTTGTTGGTGCCTTTTTAAATGGTGAGGAATTAGGTCGGACTGTAACTGGGTTTAGTTTCGTTTAGTTAATTTAGAAATAATAAGAGGATCCAGATTATTTAATATAACAAAAAAAGAAAACAATACATTTTTGTAATACATTTATAAACTTTCTACTGTATTATTTCAGGCGTCTAAATGCAAAACCCGTAAAACGAATTTTACAGAAACTTCAAAAAACCGATTATTTAACATATTAAATACTTTTTTAATTTCAACTTTATCGTAAACATTTGTTTATCGTCCCAAAGGCGTTTTTAACACTATTTTATTCATAAAATCAGTTTTGTAGTTCAAACATGCATTTTTTTAAAAAGATATTGACTATTAGTAATTTTGTATTAATTGCGTCAAGTATCCTTCGATGTTTATACTTTTATGGGTATTTTTTTAATTAAAGGGCTACAAGGTCGGTTAAATTAGAGAAAAGTTGCGTAAATACAAACCTTTTAACAAAAAAAATTATAAATTGAAAAAAAGCCAGCAGTTCTGAAAATATTTAAAAAATAAATAAAAACCTTAAAAACAAAAAATCGTTATAACTTTGTTATTCCGGGGAATTTCGAAACAAAGTAAGTTTTACATGTAAACATACACAATGTGTATACACATTAATATACACTTTCATCTAATTTCTTTGCTATTATGTTTTAAGTAAGGTACCATCACCATTTTTTGTTTGTATGTCAAATTTGAATATGGCGAAAAAACAAAAAATGGTGGTGGTATCTCAAAATCCAGTAGGTGAAAAAAATCACAAGTTGGATAAAAATGTGGACAAATGTGTATGTTTACATGTAAAAAGTACTATTTTCAAAATTCCCAGAATAACAAAGTTATAACGATTTTTGGTATTGACAGGTTTTAATTTTTTTATTATTTGAGAACCAATTTTTAAATGCCATTTTGTAATTTGTTTTATTTAACCAAGTATTTAACCGACCTTGTAACTCTTCAAATAAAAAAATACCCATACATAGAAGGATACTTGGTGCACAAAGGCGGTAACTGTAATATTAAGTAATAAAGGAAAAACAATAATTTGTTTTGTAAAAATAACATATATAACAATAAAATTACTTTTGTCCTTTATTACTTAATATTAAAGTTACCGCCTTTGTGAGTGTGGCAGTATTATACTATAATAGTCATTTAAAATTTTTAAATCATAAGGTTTAACTATAGTTATACAAGTTTAAATGTCAAAATCTATTTTTTTTTGCCAAAAAAAGTTTTCTGAATTAACATCATCTGTTTTAATTTGCTGTTATGTTGTACTGCTAGTTTCTATTAAAGAATTCTCTTTTAGAGCATCTAAGTACCTAAGTTTTGACTAATTAATTTTTAGAGAATATTAATAATTTATTACTCTATAGATGGCATTGTAGGACAAGAATAGGTAGAAGCAGTGGCGGATTTAAGAAAAAAGGCCGAGGCGGCTAAGTTTTAAATTAATGGTTAAAGAAATTTACAACATTTCAGCTGGGGGGGCCTAAAGCCTTTCTGTTGGGAGGGTCCAGGCGGCAACAGCGCATTTGCCGCCCGTTAAATCCGCCACTGGGTAGAAGTGGGAAATATATTGAAGAATAGTAAAGTTAGTGAATTATTTTCATTTTAATCAATTTAGTAAATTTTGTCATGAAAATGATAATTTAAAAAAAATAAGATAATCTATGAAACTACAATTATACAAAATATATCAAGCAAATTGTTACTAATAATATAATGAGTAAAATAGGTTAATTTTGTGAAACAAAATTACAATTCCAAGATAAATTCGGTGTTTCAAAAATTTGCACAGGATAATTAATAAGTACCTACTTTTTTTTGTAGACAATTAAATTTTCTAACAAGTTGTACAGTGTGACCCATTTGTTTGCGACTCACCCCTGTAAAATCTTTATTTATTAAAATATTTAATTTTTTAATTTATTATTATAATTTTATTTTAATGTTTTTTCATGGATAACTTGACAGAATAAATTTTTGTAGTTATTATTGTGCATTTTTCTACTTAAAATTTTTCAATAAAATTTAGTATATGGTCGTTTTAAGAGGTGGTGAATCCAGTGCCGTGCTTAGATTTTGTTTTAAAAAATCGCTAATATAAATTTTTAAAAATTTACTTTTAAAAACTGACATAGTAGGCCTTGTATTTTGTAAAAATATGACTTTTTTGTTTAAAAAATACAGTTTATCAAGATCTACATTTTAAAACAAATCCGGTTAAAATCGCACAATAAATAAAGATTTTAAAGGGGTGAGTCGCAAACAAATGGGTCACACTGTATATAAAACATATACTTTTGCTAAAAATTACAATGACAATAACATCGCCATTTTCTCTGAAACTACAATATTTATGCGATAATTTATAAGGACGTTTTTTGTAGACAATTAAATTTTCCAAAAAATTATTTAAAAAAAAATTAAAAGAAGTTTTGTTATAAAAACTGTTAATTTTAAGATAATATTGCAAATATCTGCGAAATAACAATATTTAGGTCAAAATTTCCTAACAGATAGATTGAAAAAATATTTTGTTACTTTTAATTTCAAGTGCATTTGGCGAGCCTACGATGTTAACCAAACATTTTTTTTTTGCACATCATTTTTTTTTTCAACTTAAAAAATAAAATTTTTGCTATTACCAAACTAATTTAAAAACACGGACATTCGACCCACTTTAGTGGATCAAATAATGTGGAAATCGATACCAGAATGGTGTATAAAACTAATTTTTTAAAAATGTGTGAGTTGTCAGGTTTTGCATTTAAATGCCTAATTTCTTAACTCGGAACTATACAGTTTATCATATCAATTGGAGTAATATTTCATATATGATTCCATATAAATGTTAATGAGTATACCTATTAATATAATACAAATTATTGCAATATATAATATAATGAATATTACCGACCCAAAAGTTTGTTGGGGCACATTTTTTTTTTAATTTACGTTGACGCGTCTTAATGTAACAAGTTCTACATAAAACCCATAAAATCACTATATTTTGCCTAACTTTTTTTTTGGGTCTTAAAAATCCAAGTTTTTTTATCAAAAGCAAAAAGTTAATACATACCAATATGTTTGGCCTGTGGTGTACCAGGGGCGGAAATGGGGGGTGGCGCAGGCACTGTAAAGCTTTTCAGAGGGTGCCCCTGTCCCTGAGCCCTTTTGGCCGCCTGATCGGCCAAAATATTCATACCAGGGGCGTAAGTACTACCAGGTGGCACGTGTGTTATAGGAGGTTGGCTAAAAAAAAAATATGTTTCGCCATATTTTATTAAAATTAATTATTTTACCTAATATAGCCAGAGGGCGTGGTCGTGTCGTAGGTAGTGTGCCCTGGATGCGCAGAATAGAGGTTTTCCATTGGCGGTGGCGTATTTGACATATGAGCATCGTTTGACACCATTGTTCGCGGCATCGAGTAGCCTGTTCTTTGGTAAGACGGCCTACTAGATGGAGTCGAATCTGAACTCGATTGGCTTAAAGTTGCTGTGTTTATTGGAGTCGCAATTGCTTAAAAAGATAAGAATAAGCAAGTTTAATTATTGTTTATTGTTATTTTGAAGTAGTGTTAATTTGTATTTAGGTAAAGCGTGTAAGCCGTATATGTACTTACGTTCTCTGGGCGGTTTAGAATCGACTGGCAATGAAATAATTGGTTTGGATTTTAGGGTTCTTTTCAGTGATTGATCTGTAGAACTACCTGTGTGTGCGGCAAAAGCGAAAAGTGCATAATTAACAAATAAAAATATATACAAAGTATAGAATAAGATGAAATAAATGTAATGTAATTAAGTAGTATAAATGGTGTGGGCAAGACAATTTTTAATTAGTCAATACAAAGCAATTTCGAAGCGAAATAAAGTTACTCTTCAATCTTTAAAAAAATATAGGTACCAAAAAGTATAAGTACATAATATTATAAAAATAGGTATACAGGGTGCACTAAGTATCCTATGTATGGGTATCGTTTTAATTTGAAGAGCTACAAGGTCGGTTAAATTAGACAAGAGTTGCGTAATAACAATTAAGTGGCATTTAAAACTTGAGGAAAAATTAGCGGTTCTTAAATAATTTAAAAATAACTGAGATCCTGTCAAAACCAAAAATCGTTTTAACTTTTGGAAAAAGTAATGTAATGTAAAGTGTGTATGTTTACATGTAAAACTTACTTTGTTTTAAAATTTTCAGGAATAACAAAGTTATAACGATTTTTGGATTTGAAAGGTTTATAGTTTTTTTTTGAAATATTTTGAGAACCGCTTGCTTTTTTTTCAATAAACTTTATGTTATTGGCTTGTAATTACGTAACTTTTTTCTAATTTAACCGACATTGTAGGTCGTCAAATAAAAAAATACCAATAGAAGTATAGAAAAAGTTTTTTAATAATATATAATGTTTTAAAATAGTTACTTAAATGACAAAAACTGTACAAGAAGAATTACTTATTTACATAAAAATAGTGTATACAAGGTGTACCAAAATCACCGGACCAAACAAAAGGGGTCGATTCCTTGCGAAAATCTAAGACAAAATTTTCATACCATTTTTTCGAATTAGCAAAATTGCAGGAGATATTTAATTTTTAAGGCCGCCAATGAGAGCGCAGTGTTGTCACTAAGTCGCCGCGACATTATTGCATGCAAAATGAATATGTTCTATTCTTAGGACGAGTTAGATTAACTGATTAACGAATTAACGGATTTCAGGTGTGATCTACGGACCTACGAATTTTTTCGGTATACAGGGTGCACCATCCTTCTATGGGTATTTTTGTATAAAGAGCTACAATGTCGGTTGAATTACAAAAAGTTGCCTAATTACAAGTCTATTAAAATGAAATTTTATAAAAACCCAGCGGTTCTCGAAATATTTGAAAAAAACTAAAAACCTTTCAAAACCAAAAATCCTTACAACATTGTTATTTCTGAGAATTTCGAAACAAAGTAAGTTTTACATACACAGATTAACATTTTCACTCAATTTGTGATTTTTTTAATACAACAAAATTGACGTTCTGTTATACAAAAACAATAAAAGAAATGAGTTTTTGGATAAGAATTAAACATGGAGGACGAGAACTTCTTTTGGAGTGTTAATTTAAGTTAATGTATTTTTAAGTATCAATATTAAAGCTTTAGCAAGCAATTTTAAATTCTACAAAATCACAGAAAATTCTTAATCTCTTAAAACTTAATGTGTATTTTTATATTTTAAAAACTTGTATGTTAGTAGAAGCTATTTACAATAAAGAAAAACCTTACCTCCATAATTACTGGCAGCATAATTCCTCTTATCCAGGGAATTGGTATTCATATGATCGTGATTATCGTAATCGTTTCCGCCGACGCTCCGGGGCAGCGTCATGGCGCCACTGCTGCTAGCGCCGTCATTATTAGAGTGCCTTTTCTCCATAGCCTTTAACTCCATCTGGTCGTGGTGGATCCACAGATCCGGGGGTTTGATGTTTTGAGTACCCTTTAAAATAATTATTATTGTGTAAAATACATGCGATAAAAACAACTACCTACCTTTTGGTAGCCTTTTTTACTGCGATCTGGGGACGTGGTGGCAGGGTCCTTCCTTCGACAGCACAGGAAAATCACCACGCCTGCGACTGTTGCCACGGCAACGAAACAGCCTACTCCGAGAAGATAGAGGAGGAAGCTTTTAGAGAAGATGCCGGGAGAATCTAAAATAATGATTGGTCAAGTATTTTTTCGTACTAAATGGTAATATTTTTGGTTTCTAGTTTCTGAAAAATCTAGGTCTACATAGAGATGCGACTTCGTTTTTCCGTTTTTTTTGTTTTTTTATTAAATGGTTTTTTTTTTCATATTTTAGTCCCATTCTTTAATTTTTTATGTTTCCACTCCAGTTCATGGACTAAATGACATTTAGTAAATGTAAATACAGTCTCGCGCTTTGCACGCACCACCACCACCGAGGGGTAAATCACTTTAAAATCTTAGAGACCAACATTCAATGTTAGTGGACGTTGTGTTGTGATTTTTTACCTTATCAGTCGTTATCAATAAGGAAAACTTGCTTAATCAGTGCTTAATCAGTTGCTTAGCGACGCGTTGCGCTTGACTACCCTTGTAATTGTTATCCTTAGCCGTTAATTCGTAAGCGATTTTTAATTTAAAAAAATCAGTGGTTTACCCCTCGACCACCACCGAATTGACCAATAAGGGCCGCGCTTGTTTTGATTTGGTCCTAAAAAAAGTAACTACCTATAATATTTTTGATTCAGCGCTTGATTTTTCAAAAAGCTACCAAAAGCACTTTTTTCATGAGTTTTCAAATTTATGTAGACGAAGATACAGCTATCCAAAAAATCGGAAAAAAATTAAATTTTTTTTTTATACTTTAATTTTTTCTATTAGTGTAGAAATTTTACATTGCTATTGGTTTCTTATGTGGAAACTACCAAATAATATGAAATCAGATTTTTTAGTCTCGGTCAAAATTTTCAATAAGTAATGAAAAATGTAATATATTCTTCATTTTACTTTATTATTAATATAAATTTTACATAAAATTTCATTTTGAAAAATAACTCCATTTTTTAAGATTAATGTTATTTATTGACAGATAATACTTTATTGTAGCGGATTTGAAAAAAAACAAAAAAAACCGTGTTTTTACATCTCTAGGTCTACACAATAGGTCAGTAAAAGCGTATGTTGATCCAATACTTTTATACCGGTTGAAATTTTATTCAAAAGAGCATACATTAAATAGTACATTAGAATCTAATAATTAGATGCACAACTCTGTATTTGCAAACATGAAAAACCGGTCATAAGATCATTTTTGAAAAAAAAAAATGCAAAAATTGTATAGACGTGCTTTTGCATCATTTTTATTCAAAAAAGTAAAAAAAAATCCTTTAAAATTAGGTACTTTAGTAAATAATTGAAATAAAAAGATTTAAAAACATAGTTTTGCATCTTCCTCGTTTAATTTAAACGGTTCAAAGACCAAGTTTTGCAAGTGAAAAGTGCAAATACCAAAAAATAACAATTAATCAGGTGATTGTTATATCGTCACGTAATGGGTATACTAGCGACGTGATTGGTCAACAGCAAATACCGAGTTTTCCGACAGGAAGAAACAAATATTTAGTTTTGCATCTGCGTTAAGTTTTTAAATGTATTTTATTCTACAAATATTAACTTATGCATCTGGTTTACTTAAGTTTGCTGTAGGCAGTGCAGTAATGTACACAAATAGGATAAAATTTTTAAAAATTATATATTAATATATAATTTTTAAAAATTTGCAAAAACCGAGTTTTGCATCTAATGTACTCATATTGTGTTGAATAACTTATGAACTCATGCTATGTTTTTTAAGAACATTTTCTCCAGCCTACACTGGACCAATTTACTTATGTAAATGGTCATTTTATTAAAAATGGAAAACTTTTTTTCCAAAAAAAATGGTTGAGGTTTTTTAATTTATTTAAACAATAGCGCATTGGAAAGCAAATAGGTTTTATAAAAAATTTTGCTCTAAATCACCAGCATTTTAAGGTAGTTGTGCTGTAAGCATACCATCAGAAAATTTTAAATTTTTGTATACTTATTAAGGACATGACAATACAATTATCCTTAAAATTTGAAGTTGATTGACCGTCTATAACTCGGGATAAATTCAATTAAAAATTAGATAATTAACATGGATTGTATACGCTTTCTGTAGTTCTGTACCAGTTTCGCGAGTATAGATATTATTTCCGCAGTAAATTTAAACAGACTGATTCAGTCTCCAATATATCTATTGGTTGAGCATAAGCGACGTTGCCGGATTAAAACTTGAAAACTATGAAAATATTTGAAAGTATTACGTAAAGGTAACGTCTCCAGGTTACAGTCTTGCAAAAAAATTATGAATCACTTAACTACAAGCTCGTATACTTTTACGGTGCGTATAATCTAAAAAATTTTGACAATATTGTACCACGACAACTACCTTAAGTATGTTTGCGCCTGTGCGACAAACGGTTCGTAAGTTAAGACAAACGTTAGTTGTTTTTTTCATACCCCATAGCAAAAATACATAATATTTAATTTATGCTTTTTTGATTAAAAAAAAAAAATTATACCCAGGTATAAAAGTATGGCCTAATACAGTTTTAAAAATTAGGAAAATTTATCAAAATTTTAGTGTAACTTTAATAAACATAAACCGACTTAAACAATATACCTTTAAGAAACCAGAACAAAAAATTTTCAAAAATTAGTTTATAATAAAATGCAATAAGCAAAAGTAAATCTATCAAAAAGTGAAGTTTAACTAAAAAAAAAAAAAAATAATTACCACTATTTTGGTGAATACTAATTGAGGCAACATCTATAAACAAAAAAAGTAAAAAGTGAAAAAAATATACAAAAAACAAACATTCAAAAAGAAATAAAACCCTGTACTTACTTTGTCCCGTTCTAAAAGTCACCACATTGGAAAACGGCCCGTAACCCCTACTGTTCCTGGCCTGCACCTTGAAATAATACTGCGTGAACGGCTTCAAGTCGTATATGACGCTCGAATGATTGTCGCCTTTGACGGCCAACGCTTGCCACTCCCGATCGTTCTTCGTTTTGTTTTCCGTGAACAAAATCACGTAGCCCGTTATGCGACCGCTCGTTATCTTGGGAGGCTGCCACGAGAGCTCCACCAATTGCGACTCTTCGTCTTTGAAGTGGATATCGAGGTCGCGCGGCGGAACGTTTGGAGGCAACTCGAACGTTTTGTTCGAAACCACCATGCTCCAGGGACTCTCTTTTGAACCTACATTAGTTCATCAAAAAATGTATGGACAAGGTATGGCAACGGGGTATTCAATAATGCAATTTGGCAACATCGCATCAAAACGGCGATTTGGCAACATCGCACTCAAAATTCAATTTGGCAACAATGAATTCAAAAGAGGTAATTTGTCAATATCGCATTATGAAGTTTTAATAAAAACTAATTTTAGTCAATCAGGCCAATTCACCAACATGAGTCGTTAACGTTAGCTACTAGAATCATGGTTAACCAGGCCGATTAATTATAACGTTAGCCACTAATTCTAGTGGCTAACGTTAAAGACTTATTTATGTTAGTGAATTGCCCTGAATTTCTTACCTTTAACAAGTTTTACTGAAAACTCATAATTCGTATTCGGTTTCAGGTCGTTGATCATATAATTCAGATCTGACGTATTCTCAAAACGATTTTTTGAAGATTTCTCAACTGTGTATTTTATAACATACACTCTATTATCCCGTACGCTCTAAAAATAAAAAAAAAAATAGTATTATACTCGTATACCTATAGGTACGAGAGATTCACGAGGATGAGTTTTGTGCTTTGCCAGGCGAGATACGTAAATCATCCTAGTAAATAATGCTTTAAAAAAAATAAAAAATGGTTTATTCTCCTATGCGTCAGGCGAGAGACGTAAATCATCCGAGTGAATAATACGCATTATCTTGAGTCTTATATAAGACTATGTATATATTATGCTTTTTCTACTCCAATAAGGTAATTTTCATTAATAAAATTAACAAAATTTATTATAACCTCACTCTCTCCCGATTATAATGATCATGTCGCCCTTAGTTTACATACAGGGTGTCCCAGAACTCGCGCCACATAGAAAAACGGAACGTGCCGAAAGTAACGTGAAACACATCAGGGTTCATACTATTGAATTCGTATAAAATTCCCTGACTTTTCCAGGTTTTCCAGAACTTTCTCAAGCTTTTTCCATAGACTGTGGAAGGTGTCAAAAATTGATATTGATATTCAGGCAAATAGGAAAAAAATAAAAAATAGAATTTATACTTTGCAGCTTTAATAACGGACCATAAAAACAAAAATAAATACATATAGCATAATTCATATTATATGTGACCTGGACCTATGGTCGGAAGAATCAATTTTTTTTTTTTTGTTTTTTTATCGAAATTTATAAAAAATTTAACGTATTTTTTAATGGAACATACCGCAGACTCCTAAGTTTGAAACTTTTGCTGAAAATCATCCTTAAAGTTCAACATGAATTATAAAAATCGCGAAAAAAGTTATAAATAGATCAAGAATTGCTTTTTTTGATCTTTTATTTTCGTCAATATCCTAAAGAGACATATCAAAAGACGAATCTGGTACGTCATCTTCTATGTCACTAACACCTGCACCTCCACCTTGATCTTCGTAATCTTTATCACAATCCGCAAAACATTGTTTCTCCACTGCTTTAAATTCTTTTTCTAAATCCATTATGCACTTTTACAAACTAAAACAACTTTAAATTAGCTGCATAACAACGAAAAACGACGATCTCGAAAATACAATGATAAGAAAAGCAGCACGTATTCCAACTTTTTCAACGTTCACAAAATTAGCTATTTAGGGGAAGTGATCAAAAATATTTATTGTAAAAGCACCACTGTATAATGGAAGTCTAAAGAGAGGGGAAGAGCCAAGGGTAAGACCAGGGTCTTCCACCCTGGGTAAGACGAAAAAAGAAAAGGTAGAAGCGCCAATACAAACGCGAGAGCACGGACAGTACTTGTTATCTTTAACAGCTGCTTTCTCGAAAACTTGATTTCTAACCATAGGTAGCTTTCCGTAGTCCAGGTCACATATGTAATTCAAAAACAAAACTTTTTTAGATCTTTTAAAATTTAACTTTATAGTTATAACAAAACATAGAGCATTTCTCGAAAATAAAAACAAAACAAAATACAAAATTAAGTCAAATCTATTTTAAACTTTTTCTCTCAACATTTGTAGACGTCTATTGATTCTGTCCACTTCATGGTTAGTTCCTTCAGTTAATTTTTGTTTTTTGTTTTCCAGAACCTTGATTTCCGTTATTAAACAGTTTTTCACAATTACGAGAAAGACTTGTAATGTTACTTTGACTTTTGTCAAAGACAAACTGACAGTTACACGATTAGGTAGTTACATTAAAATTGCACAAGTATTTCGCCCAAGTAACATTTTTAGTTTTATATTAGGTTTAGGAAGGTAACCATCACTAACTTATATAACTTAAGGTCATATTTAATAGTCAGGAGAAATTGTTTATGCCAATTATAAAAGCGTTATAGGCCTTAAATGGCCTAGTTTATAACTGTTTTCTTAGTAACTACAATGACCTAGAGTACGCTACTGATAGTAGAGAACACCTTAAAAAAACCTTTATAAAACTAACCCAGTAACTACTATAAAACTTAAAGTAAGGTCTTAACTGGTTACCTTTACCTAAATAGAACCAGTACTAAAAGTTATATAATATTTCCGGTAACCTTTAAGGAACTGCAGTACATACTTTATATTTATTGTCTTTGTCAGCCTGCTTCTTTTTTAATATTCATAATCTATGTTTACTAAGCAAACACTTATAAGTGTTATAACAGCGCAGCATCACTTCGGGTGGGGAAGATTATTATTTTAAAATGGCTACTCTCGCAATGCAGTGAAGTAAATGTTTGCTAAAACTCTCAGGTAGGTAGAAATTCACTTGCGAATTCTTTTGTACTGTGTAAAATTGTGTTTTACTCAAGGAAAACACGGCGGCCTCGGAATGCAAGCGTTTTTGGTAATTTTTTTGTTAATAAAAACTATGAATATATATTACATTTTTTTATAATCCAGTTAAAAATAAAGATTACTTAAATCTCTGGCTTGACAAGACCCACAAATGTGCATAGTTTAATATTTTTAAGCTTTAATCAATTTTTAAAGCATATTTTTGTAATAAATTTTCTAACCTAAAATTTAAAATCTCAGAAGAGTATGGCCACCGCAGATCTAGGTAATAGTTATCACTACATGTTTTATAATTTACTCCACACCTTAAGTTATATAAAGGAAATTTTAGGGATATTTATTACTTCTTATCAGCAGTTATAAAACACGTAGTGGTCATCATTCAGAGGTAACGACCATGACTATTGGTTATCTATGTGACTGTTATATAACCTAAGGTGTTGGCGCTTGCGTAGAAAATACTTATGAAAACATAACCTGAGATTTTTGTTATTGAAGGTTTGCTACACAGAACATAAGGTTTGCTAAATAGATAATAATATTATCATAATATGTCCTACAAAATCGTGCAGACCGAGGAACCAGGGCGTGAAAAACCCTCATTGACAATTGTGCCTTGTGGTTGGGAGGTAAATAATATTTTATTTTGGCCCAAAAATAAAAAAACTCATCAAGAATTATAAAAGATTCAATTTCCATGCCAGAGGACGACTGGATAAAATACCCATGTATTACTCATTTTTTCAATATCTTTTAACACACCATGGATGAAAAAATCAAAATTCATCAAACTGGACTTAAAATTAAAACTATAATAATTATTATATAAAGGAAACTAAAAGTACTTGACGTTTTATAAAAACAACTTAAAGAAATCTTCGTAACCAGAAGTGTTAAGTTTTATATAACGGTTTCTAAAATCAATAAAAGTAACAAAATAGTGTGAATAATTTCCTTTATAAAACCCGGTGCAACAAGATTTATAAAAAAAATTACAAAACAGTTATATAACCTGTTTATAATACTTGAGGTGCTTGGAACTAAAGGTTTTGTAAGAAAGGTAATGAACAGTATTCCGCAACCATGTTATAAAACTTTTGGGGATAAGTAATCGATATGACCACTTTAAAACCTGAATCCCTGTGGGTAATTTGTTTTACTATTATAAACCTTTTATATAAATAATGAGAACTTTAGGTAATTAAAAATGTTCATTTATATTAAATGATCATTTATATTAAATCATAATTTAGATTGTGTAGGTATTAAGTAAATATTATTTTCTTTTATATTATTATTATTTTAAGTATTGGTATTATTTACAGATAATTCCCTGACTTTTCGTTTTTTATTTAAATTCCCTGACTTTTCCATGACTTTTTAGACTCATTTTATATTCCCTAATTTCCCGGTTTTCCCGGTCGCTACGAACCCTGCACATATTAGATGAATATACTGAAATGATTATTATTTATTTATTTAGTGTAGGCGCAACGCCAGGGAGACAACGCGAGTTTTTTCCCAGCCCTTTCCTAATCGTTATTTTAAAACATTGGCGTTTTGAAGTATAAGTCATAGATTAATAACCTCATTTTTGAAAGCTTTTGACAACTTAGTAAATACAGTTGGCCAAAAGATTTTTAAATGTTTTTAATACAACAATGTTCTATCGTCTCCTAGCAATTTTTTAAGCTCCTACGTTTAACCTAGGCGAGAGATCTCGGTATTGGCTGCCGCTTTTTTGCTCTCATTCGATTACACTATTACCTAGAAATTTTTTATTTTTAAATTTGGCATCTCCATTGCTATCGGCACGCCCCTTTTTCTCTGTGGCGCGAGTTCTGGGACACCCTGTATATAAAAATCTGACATTTAAAAAAATTCTAACCTCACTTTTTTCCATTTTAAAACACGATTGGTTCAAAACACAGTGAATATTAAAATCAGCCAATCACCGATGCCTAACAACGTGAATAATGAGTTCATTATTCCCGTTGTTAAGTGGCGCGGTTCATTATTTACGAAAAAAAAACAAATGGTAAGAATATGCAATATTATATTCTATATGAAGAGGAGTAGAAAAGCAATAAACAAAAAACAATACAAATTTTTCAAAATTTTTTGCTAGTTTACAGAATTTCTACAATTCTTTACGGTATTTAATACGGTTATTTAAAAAAACGATTTACTGTGTTAATATTTTTATCATTTTTTCTATTTTTATGAGGTTTTTCTTAATTTTATTAATATTTATAAGTTTTTAATAATTTTAATGTATTATTAATGATTTTAATATTTTTTTAGGTAAGTACCTAATTGTCATTTTTATATTTTTAATGTTTTTTTATTTAATAATAATTTAGTAATAATTACCTAATTTTTATGTTATTATGATAGATATTTTTTGTTTTTGTTAGTTTTTATTGTTTTTTAAATATTTTTTTTTCAAAATGTATTATAACCTCACTTTCTCCAGATTTTGATCATTTTTTTGATCATAGCTAGTCGCCCCTCGCATATATAAAAAATCTGACATTTGTTAAAACGTTCCAACCTCAATGTTTCCCTATTTAAAATCCGATTGGTTTAAATCACAGTGAATATCAAAATCAGCGTAACATGCCTAACAACGTGAATAATGATTTTATTATTTCCATTGTTACGGTTACGAAAAAAACAAATACTGTCAATAATATGCAATAGAAGTAGAAAAACAATAAAAAATATCAATACGATTTGTATATATTTTTTAACTACTGTGTTAATATGTAATTTTCATAATTTTCTCCATTTTTATAATGCTTTTTAAATATTATTAATATTTATACGTTTTTAATCATTTTAATTACTTTTAAAATTTTTTTTAGTTAATTTTTATATTTTTAAAGTTTTTTTTATTTTATTACTTAATTATATAGTTTGTAAGTATTTTTGATGGATATATTTAATGTTTTTATTACTTTTTATAAATTTTTATATTTTTTCAAGTTTTAAATTTCCATTGGTTTTTTTCAATTTTTATGCTGATTTTTTTTGTTGATTTTTTTAGTTCATTAGTAAATTCTATAAAAACACTAAAATTAAATATATGACTCACCTGATATTTTAATGTAGGATCTGACCAATACAGCACCACCGTCTGAGGTGTTATAACATGCGCCTTAAGCCCAATAGGAGGCATCAGGGCTGCAGCCGGTTCTGGAGGGGGCTCTTCCTGGGTTCTTACGGTCGTGTATGTTGGCGGTCCAGTACCCATTTGGTTGCTGGCTCTTATACTCAACACATATTCGGAATTCGGTTCCAAACCTTTTATAACATAAGTTCGGTTATTTTCGTGCAACTCCGTGCTGTACATATCAGGTACTCCTTTTCCCCAACCCAAGACGTAGTTACGCACTCGTGTATTTTGTTTTAATGGGGGACCCCAAATAACGAACAGAACATCGGACATGGAACGAACTCTAATATAAGCGGGCTTTTCAGGTACTTTATCTTCATTCATGTCGGTTTCGTAAGTTATGGTGTCAAACCAATCTGTAGGGGGACTGGAACCATTTATATTAAGAGCCCACAACCTTACAGAGTATTTCACACCCCTTTCTAAATCGCTTATGGTGTGGTGGTGTATATTGGCTTCCGTTTGGATGTTCGTTGGTTTTCTTCCTTCTTTGCGGTATTTTATTTTGTAGCCCAAAATAACCCCATTTTGGGCTTCCAAAGATGGCGGTTCCCACCTTACCAAAATGCTCTACAAATGTTAAAACATGCATTGACACAACAAAACAAAAATCCGTTGATAGGCATTAAAAAAGTCTTATGTGGCCTAAAGTCTAAGGTATATTCATGTTTTATATGAGGAGGTGCATTCCAAAACTCGGCTTATCCATATTAGTTGTTTTTGAGCAAAACGTCAAAAACCCTTCAAATGAGTACCAACACAATACTTTAAACGAAATATATAGGCATAAGTAAAAAATGTATATACTTTGATTAAAAATGTATAGCTCCAATTTAAAATAATTTAAAATTACATACGTATATTCCGAGTTCTGCATGATATAACCAATAGATAAGGCAAGTTTTGGAACGTTAGTCAATTTGTAAATAAATTTTAAATGGAATAAGGCGAGTTTTACAATATTATGAACAGACACCACTAACTCATTTTTATTAAAAAGTGAATAAGCCGAGTTTTAGAATGGACCTCCTCATATGATCTAAAGTATATTAAAGCATATAATACTTGGATATAAAATTAAAGCATTTATGATATTGTCAATGTTAAAGTTAAAAAAAATGTCAATTTTTGGTGAATGCTAATAATAATGTATACCGTAAACACGGGTGACTTTGCACCCCGCGGGTTACTTTAGCCCTTTTATGAAAAATTTTTTCGCGCTCGATAAAATTAACATATATAATTTGTTGGTCTAAACCTGTCAATTGAGCGATTCTATTGAGTTTATATTTCAGGAAAATCAGTGTTTTAAAAAAATAAATGGGATTTATTACACTTTAAAGTTGTATATATTGCATTAGTGCAAAACTCTTAAAAATACACGCGTTTCAATTTCTATATTATGCGCCATTCTTTGTAATGATGATCCTTGGTTAACTACAGGTCGATTTTTTATTGTATTTATCGGTAATCCCTTGCAATTGCTATATGTCGCTGCTAACATATGTCTAATAAAAATAAAATAAAATATTGAATTAATTTTATACGGAAAATACACTGTGAGACAAAGTAACCCGCAACCAGGGGGTAACTTTGCACACCCAGTTTTTAATTTGTATTTTTGAAACTCAGCCCTATGTAAGATTATAACATAGTTATTATGAAAGAGCAACTCAAGACTCAAATTTTGGTATACAATATTTAATGTTTATGATTGTTAAAACTACAAAAATGTTAAGATTAAGTTTGAAAGTGAGCTAAAGCCACCCGTGTTTACGGTACGTGAAATTTGTATAATTTTCAAGGTTGTAGATTTTGAATAGAGATAAATATGGATATTAATTAAAAAAGTTCTGAGTCTAAAAAATTTAATACACAAAACTTATTCCTGTAATTAGGTATTGTGCCTTGTGGGATCTAAATAAATATAAATAAATAAATAATGGATACTTGTGTCAGGGTTTTGTTACTTACAGTGCTTGTAGGTTCTAATGTTACATTATTTGGGGGTTCTGATGGCACATCACTGAACGTTCTCACTAATTTTTCATCCGTGGCCGCGCCTGGGCCATTGTTATTGACAGCAACCACCCATATACTGTATTCAGTATACGGAAACAATCCGGTTAGATCATATGATGTTTCTGATGTGTCCACTTTGTGTTCCAAAGAACCACCAGCCTAAAATTAGATATTTATGGATACCGAGACCTGGTAAAAGCATTACTAAGCAAAAATAAACAAAACATGGATTTTTTAATCTTTTCCTGTAGAAAATATTACATCGCACTTAGCAACCCTGCTCATAAATGTATTTGTTTGTTATTACCTTCATATAATAAGCGTTGTACTTAATGATAACCCCATTGGGATTTTGCGGGGGTTCCCAGGTGACGTGAATGCTTCTGGCGCCGGTGGCGAACACTTCAAACTGTTGTGGGGCAGTGGCTACGTATTCTTCACTTTGAGTGGTAACTGTTAAAGGTTTGGAGGAAATTCCTGCCCCTTTTTGGTTGAAAGCCACCACCCGGAAATGGTACACTTTGCCGGGTAGTAAGTTTTGTATGCTTATTTCTTCCAGTTTCGATCTTGTTGTGTTTTGGACTCTCTCTCTAAAATAAGGAAATGTAAAAATTCAAAAAAAATAACAATAGTTATTTTTTGGTACTCGCCCACTAAAATTGTTAAAATAAATTAAGATACGTTTGCATTGGGTTAAGACGGAATAAGTAAATCTTTAGACATTTTTATGAAAGTTTTAGAGCATTTCTTTAAAAGATTTTTGGACATATTAAGGATATTTGTTTGTAGAATACTTTTATTTAAATTGATTCATAATCATAAAGGCTATATATACTTTTATTTAAATTGATTCATAATCATTCATATATAGCCTTTATGATTATGAATCAATTTAAATAAAAGTATTCTATAACAAATATCCTTAATATGTCCAAAAACTTTCATAAAAATGTCTAAAGATTTACTTATTCCGTCTTAACCCAATGCAAACGTATCTTTATTTATTTTAACAATAACTTTAGTGATTTACTGGGACAATTAAACATTTATGTAATAAAATCGCAAATCTATAGATAAATAAGTGATATTAATCATTTTATTTCTAAGCAGTATACAATGCCTGTACAAAATAATAACACATATTCTTGAGACCAAAGTAATGCGATATAATTAAATTTACCTCTATTCAAAAGTTTATAATAACCGATTATATTTATTTATTCGGATGTTTTTCAGGACGGGAAAATGAAATTTATTAAAAAAAATATTGTATGTTGTAGAGGACGCTTTCTAAAACACTTTGCATACGTTTAAAAGGGTACATTTTTTTGCGCCTAAGTGTATTCAAGTTTTTAAATATATTACTTTTTTCATCTTTATCACACAAAAAAGGTACATCTTGTAAATGTCTCTCTAAGTTTCTGTTTTAAAGATATGTGCGTTTAAATTGTAAAGGGGTACACTGTGATTAATTTGTACTTAAAATATATATAAAAAAAAATATTTTAAAACAATGACGAAGTTGGACAGTAACTAAATTTATAGTGTCTCCTAATGTATTTCTTAACCATAACCTACTTAAAAAAAATGTGAAATTTTTAATTCACCAATAATAAATTAAATGCAAAGGAGTTTTGCAAAATTATTTTCCTTATATATTACCCCCCAAATGAAAAAATATCGACGCCCTTGCTCACAGTGACATTTAAAAAGTAGATACCTATACATTTTTTATGTAATAAAGATGAAAATGTAATCTGTTTTTATTAAAAACGTGAATACACTAAGGCGCAAATAAGATGTGACCACTTAAAAATCAAATTTTATGCAAAAAACCTATTTAATAAAATTGAAACGAAATTCCAATTTTCAAACCCTGTACCTTGGTTAATATTATATTATATATCAACTTTGGTATAGAAGTTAATTTAGTTATAATATCCCACTATTTAGGTCTCAGAAATATTTGGTATCATTTCAGGGACACCTTTATTTATTTCAATTCTTTATTTTATGTATACTATTAAATACTTGTTTAAGTATCTACTTTAATATTGTTATTTGAATGTACTTTATGGAAAAAACTGTCAGGCAAAAAAAATATTATTGTTATTATCTAATAGATATTTCAGTTTCAAGTTCCATTATGTTATGGTTTTTATAGACAGTATGAAAACAATTTAACAATTGAAGGCGCAAAAGTATAAAGGGATTAGTATTTATAAGTAATAATTTAAAAAGTAAAGGAAAAAAAATATTGTAATTTTAATTAAAAATAAATTTGATATTGGAATTACAATATTTTTTATTTGAAGGTGCGATGTTACATTTAAGTTTGAAAAGAACAAACAGTATTGTGATTGTAAATAAAAATAAATTTGATATTGCAATTACAATATTTTTTGTTTGAAGGTGTCATGTTACATTCAAGTTGAAAAAGAACAAACAATATTCTGATAAATCAATAAAAATAAATTTGTTATTGCAATTACAATATATTTTTTTATTTATTATTAACATGTTACTTAACCCTTCATCCACTTGCCCATTCAATTCATAGACTTTTAGGCAGTTCTAAATATTTTAAAGAGTTACAACATTTTATAAATCTTTGCCATTTTGAGATATTTTATACAGAAGGATAGTTTTTATTTTATAGCATTTTACCTATTGAAATTGTAAAAACTGGCCTTTTACCTTATAACTGATTCGTATCAGTAATACATTTTATGAAAGACAAACTAAAAAAATAAAATCTAAATTTTCTTAACTACTTTTTTATCTATCAAAAAAATCAATAAAAGCAGTGGTTTATTACCTTTCGCTTCCTTCCTGCTTGTAAAACACTGAATAGGCCTGAATATCGTCGCTATTCTCCAGCGGTTGGTGCCATCCGAGGATAATAAATCTCGCTTTGACAATGAGCGCCTTAAGGTCCTGGGGTGGCCCGGGCAGTCCGTCGATGATCTTCTTTTCTGCGTTTCCTGCACGGGGGCGGGTTAAAGTGGGAGAAAAAGCGGATTCGAAATAACCCAGGTCGCTATCGAACGGGTCGCTGCTACTTTTTAAAGAGGAAAAAGCTCGATGGGGGTCGTATTTAGAGTTAGTCGGCAGAAGGCCGAAGTCGTGGGCTTCGGCGTCGGACGGAAAGTCCGCTTTCAGGTTGTTAAATATGTTTTTGGATTGTTGCTTTTTTATTAGTTGCTCGTCGAATTGCGGTCTAGCTTTTTTCTGTTTAACTTTTTGCGGTTTTCGCTTGTCTACGTACACCAAGTCATGCAGAGTAATGTCATGCAAAATTATAGAAAATTCAGGGAGAAGGGTGAAGGAAAGGGAGAAAATAAAATATAATAAATTAATAAACAATAAAATAATAAGTAAACTAATGGTAATGAAATAAAATATTCCCAAAAATCAGATACTAATTGACGTGCATCTCATTATTTTCAGCACAGTAATATTTGTTTTTTTATTTTAATATTCGATAAAGATTAGATTTTTTGAAATGCTTAAAGTTGCATTTAAGTTTATGAACACAGACCCACAAAAAAATAAAAGTAAGATGTCTGATGGACTAGAGTAGTCACATCCTATGGGTTTTGGGTCGCTGAATCCGAATTTGTCTTTAGAATTTCGCCATCACCCTCAAATTTTTCTAACCTTAAATTTTTTTATATGTAAAAATCGCGTTTTTTTACCTTGACCATAAATTCTGATTTAGCGGCGTATACGCTAAAAAAGTATCGGGTTTTCGCAACGCGCGCGCCATCTGGTTGACTTCGAATGCATTGCGTGAATTTAAGAATTGTCAACAATAAATTTAAAGCACAGATTATACATTATTTTTAAAGTAATAGGTAGTTTTTTAAAAAAATAGGTAGTTTTACTCGACAAATTTTGTTCAATTGCACAGCTAAATCGCGCACGGTATTTGTGTTTTACGTTGCAAGGAAAAAATTAAAAAACTTTTTTAGTACTCGATTTCGATTGATTATATCATTGATTAAGAAACTCAACGCTTAAATGCTTATATAGTTACGTTAGTGTGTGTATTTTATCAAAGGGATCATGGTGAATTATTGTGTTTTTAATTGTAAATAAAATTCAAGAACTAAATCGTTGCATTTTCATGTTTTGTCAAAGGATCCAAATCGGTAAGTACATTTGTTGGTGCAGAATTAACTAATGATAACTTTACCTAATATAATTTATATTTAAGTTTGGACATTTTTAAGAAATTAGTAAAAAATAATTTTTGCACAAACATAACCTTAAAATCAACCATTTTTATATTTGTTTTCTAAAAAACGCCGACAACCATAGATGACCGACAACTGCATTTTAAACAACAAAATATACCTACGAATTCATGGCAACATAATATTAATATAATACATAATAATATTATAATGGTATTTTAGCGTTGAGTGAAGACTTTCTTAATCAATGCTAACTAAAATATGTATTTATTGTATCTAATAGGTATAATTTATATTTACAGAGACTGTATGCAATTTATTTCTTTATTCAGATTAATACTGTTTATTGGAAAACCAGAAAAAACTCAACCCAGGATTTTCTCTCGAAATACACCCAACAACACAACAAATCGATCGAAGGTTTTTTTTTCGATATTTTTTTAACATTTTCCAGCTTTATTCTTAAAAAAACTCGTTTGTAACTCAAGCGTTTGACAGCTGATTATTAAAAGTTCTACTTTTGTTACGATGATAACAGCCGAGTGGTGGCGCTACTAGCGATACTTCTTTAGCGTATATTCATATAAATGGTCTCTTTTGGTCCGTTGACCCTACCGTATACCTCCATTTTATATCACAAAAAATTAACAAAATACTTGTTTTTTTAGTTTTAGGAATTCAGGTTTTACAGTATTGTACTCTGTACACTGTACAGTGTACAGCCCCTTCCCCAAGGTTGACCATTTATATGTATTTTTTACTGAGCTCTACATATTTTATAATGCAAAAATAGCCGAAAACAACAAAACGATTTTTTTTGTGGTTAAAAAACTGATGACGGAATTCTGACCACAATGTGACTACTCTAGTCCGTCATACAACACTTATTTTTTATGGGGCTGCAGCCCACAAGTACACATGTGTACTTGTTTATTTATAAATAATTTATGACAAAATATTATCTTCATAGAATTTTGATATGAAAAAAATGTACATATTAAAAATATTTACGAATTAAAAAAAGACACGTAATAGTCCAGTCATCTTAGTAGTTTCACCTCGGAATATGAGATACCAAGCTGTATATTTGTATAAACTTTTATTTTGACATCCTAAAACTTGCCTCAAAACCTACATACTGTAAGGTGTCCGCATCTGTCAAAAATTAAGGTCAAAGGTCACAAAAATCGATTTTTTTAACATTTTCTGCAAATATCTCGTTTCCTATGGGGTTTACGCGATTTGTATTTATTAAAAATATTATAGAAGATAAAATTCTCTACAATTTTTGTTTAAAAAGTTTTTTTATACCTCGAATCGTTTTTGAGATAGAGGGCAGTGAGCGCGCAGTGTTTAACTATATAGAGTACCATTTAAGGTCAACCGGAAGGCCCGATCAAAAACATGCCTTAAACTGTTTATAAAATGTTGAGAAATATATAATTATAAATAATTTTAATTTTTTTAAATATTACATTATAGTTAATAACTTTTTTCGTGATGTATCTATTGTTAATTAAGTATCAGTGTATTTAATCGCACTTATCTGGTTGTGTACTTAAAAATTACTAAGAGAAATGCCTAAATTTTTTGTAATGTTAATCAATGCTATACTAATTACTTAAATAAGTAAAAATGAAGAAATGAAATTAATTTCTAATTAACTTTTTTATTAAAAAATTTTCAATCCTTACATTTATCAGTAAAAACTAAAAAACAAAAGAATAATTATTCAAACAACGACAAACTCTGATTTTAATTCTCTTCTTCTTCCTCATTATCATCAAATTCAACTAGAAGACAATGATAATGAGGAAGAAGAAGAGAATTAAAATCAGAGTTTGTCGTTGTTTAAATAATTATTCTTTCGCACTTATCTGGTTGTGTACTTAAAAATTACTAAGAGAAATACCTAAATTTTTTGTAATGTTAATCAATGCTATACTAATTACTTAAATAAGTAAAAATGAAGAAATGAAATTAATTTCTAATTAACTTTTTTATTAAAAAATTTTCAATCCTTACATTTATCAGTAAAAACTAAAAAACAAAAGAATAATTCTTCAAACAACGACAAACTCTGATTTTAATTCTCTTCTTCTTCCTCATTATCATCAAATTCAACTGGAAGACAATGATAATGAGGAAGAAGAAGAGAATTAAAATCAGAGTTTGTCGTTGTTTGAATAATTATTCTTTTTTTTTTTAGTTTTTACTGATAAATGTAAGGATTGAAAATTTTTTAATAAAAAAGTTAATTAGAAATTTATTTCATTTCTTCATTTTTACTTATTTAACTAATTATTATAGCATTGATTAACATTACAAAAAATTTAGGTATTTCTCTTAGTAATTTTTAAGTACACAACCAGGTAAGTGCGATTAAATACACTGATACTTAATTAACAATAGATACATCATGAAAAACTATAATGTAATATTTAAAAAAATTAAAATTATTTATAATTATATATTTCTCAACATTTTATAAACTGTTTAACGCATGTTTTTGATCGGGCCTTCCGGTTGACCTTAAATGGTACTCTATATAGTTAAACACTGCGCGCTAACTGCCCTCTATCTCAAAAACGATTCGAGGTATAAAAAAACTTTTTAAACAAAAGTTGTAGAGAATTTTATCTTCTAAAATATGGATAATAAATACAAATCGCGTAAACCCCATAGGAAACGAGATATTTGCAGAAAATGTTAAAAAAAAATCGATTTTTGTGACCTTTGACCTTAATTTTTGACAGATGCGGACACCTTACAGTATGTAGGTTTTGAGGCAAGTTTTAGGATGTCAAAATAAAAGTTTATACAAATATACAGCTTGGTATCTCAAATTCCGAGATTCTTACCTTATTTTGACTAAGATGACTGGACTATAAATTCAAACGGAAACATGCGATAAAACATTTGAGACATTTTTATTCAATATTGAAACACAGTTTATGGAGTTGAGCAATCTCCGATGGGTATATGAAACTCGACATTACATTCATTATATTGCTTATAGAAATTATTTAGAAAAATTTACAATTTTTCGAAAAAAAGCATGTTTTTATTTATCCTTTAAAATAATTACAAAATTACGCACTATAATACTAAAAACTTTTTATGTTCAAGCGGTCCATCAATTAACTTTTATTGTTTTTTGTTTTGTTTTTAGAGTATTTATTGATCAATGATCAGCATTAGCTGTTTTACCACTTAACCCTTTCCACTTAATTGTCGTCAAAACTCGACACTGAAGTGATTGATTATGGCTTAAGCACATAATAAATCATGGGCTGGTAATTCGTAATTATTGTCAGTGATTGGCCGATTTCATTAGTCACCATGATTTTGACCAATCAAAAAAATTCGAATGTCGAATTCAATTATTAAAATTAGAAAGTGAGGTTTGACAGATTCTTTAAAACGGTTCTAACCTCACTTTTTACTTTTAATAATTGAAGGGCGATCAGACAAAACGAGACAAATAAAAGAATTCTTTTGCTTTTGACTTATTTCTGAAAATCAATAAAATGGATTTATCTCGTTTTGTCTGATCGCTCCTCAAATGTACGTTTTGTGTATTGTATAACAAATAAAATTTGTTTTAAATTCTAAAAAATATAATAATTATTAACTTGAAAATGTTCTATGCCATTCACTCATTTGACTTGAGATTGGCACAAAAAGACTTACCTACTTCTTGGCCTAATGAGAAAAATAATAATTATTATTGTAATTAAATAGGTACGTATTTATTTTTCTTTGCTAAATAATTATTTTTTAGAAATACAAAGATTTTTACTACTTTTGTTTTGAAAATTATAGTAAATATAATATAATCAAACTTTGTATAACAATAATTGAGGAGCGATCAGACAAAAACGAGACAAATCCATTTTAGTGATTTGCAGAAACAAGTAAAAAATAAAAGAATTCTTTTATTTTCACTTATTCCTGAAAATTACTTAAATGGATTTGTCTGATCGCTCCTCAATTGTAGTATCAGGTTTTTGACGTGCCAAAAGTGGAAGTTTTCTTCAATATTTCACCAAATACGTAAAATACGTAAAGGCGTATCTAGTTTTAACAAATTTTCAGAAGGGTGATTTAACTATTTTAAACATTTGAGAAACGTCTCTTAATTATTATATTATTATTAAAAGTAAAAGGGCGTTTTCTAAATGTTTAATACAGTAAATTTTTTATAAATCTCTCTTCTGAAAAGTTAAACCCAGATCCTCAAAATTGATACTAGATCTCAAAAAACTTTGCAACAATAGTTAATTAAAGTTATTTGGGAAAATTTCATTTCAATACCACCAACAAAATATATACAAAAATAAACAATAAAACCATATAAAAGTAAAGATTTCTTACCCGTATTGGAAATGACACGTAAACTGGCGGCAGCTTGAATATTTCCGGCCGGATTGGTGGCAAAACATTGAAAAATACCGGAATCTTCGCTAAGCAGTCCGGTAATTTTTAAATTATGGCTAAAATAAACAAATTAGACTGTAAAAAAATAAAATGTTTTTAAAAAACCTACCCATTGACAATGTTGTAATATTCACTATGGCCTATGGATTCGCCATTCCTAAACCATTGGATTTTTGGTTCAGGTTTACCAAAAACGTTACACTGCAATTCTACATTGTTTGATACGTGTTCTATTTTGTCCTGAGGTTTTGTTAAGAATCTAGGAGGCACCTGAAATGTCAAATAAAACGATAATTTTACTAATTATTATATAATAAATTAATTACTTGAACTTGGATTATCGCAGACTCATCAAAACTGTCTTCCCTGTTTTCGGCTCGACATTGATATGTTCCCGCGTCTTCTTCCTTGATTTTCGTTATCCTTAACGAGTTTGTTGATCCCACCCGGCTAAATCTACTGTCCAAGTCGCTAAAAATCACCAGAAATTAATATTAACATTACATTAACAGAAAAAATTACTGCACTTACTTCATGTCGATATTGTACCCGTCCTTCAACCAACTTATCGTAGGATATGGATTCCCGTTAGCCGCACAATCCAAGGATATGTTTTGCCCCTCGATTACCACCTCCGACCTGGGGGCGGCAATAAAATTCGGCGGCGCGGTTTGAGCAGCCTTATCTTGGTCCCCGTTGATTGTCAAACTAGCTATGCTACTTACTATGTAGGAATTGTAACCAGTTACGTTGCATCTAAAAAAAACAATAAAAATGTTTTAGCTGCGAAGAAACAAAATCTTGTATGTTAAACAAGAAAGTATAGGTTTCAAAATGTTTTATTTGTAAGAAGTGTTTTTTACTCTGAAACATTAATTACACAGTAGTACGACAAAATTTGTGCGATTGTGCGATCCAATAAAATGTTATCCATGGTATTCGGCACATAATATAACAGATTCGATAACAGCTAGACAGTATATTTTTATGAAAAATTTATTCACTGAATAAATGGACAACCATTAATATTATTTATTTATTTTAAAATTATTTTATTTCGAGTTTTAATTATATACAGGGTGTTGCACATTTACGAAATACAGGTGTTTCACGTTCGTGGTCCATTGAGAGTTTTTGAGGGACGGCAAAAGATATCGATTTGAAATTTTTAAAGCGTTTATAATCCGATTAAGCCTATTTTTCTAACATATTTTAAACAAAATGTCACTTTCGGCTTGACCGGAAGTGACATTAACTTTGTTATTTTAAATGGAACACCCCATATGTTTTTACATTTTTAAATTCTACATAAAATTTTGAGTTAAATTACTGTACCATGTTCTAGAGTAAATAGTTTTTCCGTTAAAATATGACAAATGCGCGTCAATCAAAAATAGCCTATAACTGTCTTGCTATTAGGTTTGCAGAAATGGGGGTGGAATTTTTGGAATCTTAAAACATTGTTTAAAAGATTCCATGTCAATTTCTTTCTGGGTGTTACATTTAAAATAAAAAAGTTAGGCCAATTTGCCCTGGGGTTTCTCGGGTAATTTGTTGAAAAATGTTAAAGAATTGACATGTAATTTTTTAAACAATGTTTTAATATTCCAAACACTTTACCCCCATATCCGTAAACCCAATAGCAAACATCTAGAAAACTATTCACTTTAGGTATAGTACATGGTATAGTACTTAGAATTTTATGTAGAATTTAAAAATGTAAAAATATATGGGGTGTTCTATATGAAATAACAAAGTTGATGTCACTTCCGGTCAAACCGGAAGTTGTATTTTGTTCAAAATATTTAAAAAAGACTTAATGGATTATTAACGCTTTTAAATTTCAAATCTATATTTTTTCCGTTCTCCAGAAACTTCCAATGGACCACGAATGTGAAACACCCTGTATATCAAGTGGTGTTTTTAGGTTGTGATACCACTATAGATTCGAAAACAATGTATAATCGTCCAACTAAAAGATCAAGATTTGTTTCCAACATATATTTAATATAATATAAATACAAATCTGTTGTTTAAAAAAAAAATCAAAAATTAAAACCAGAACTTACTTAAAAAAAATAAAATTGTTATTTTCTTTAAGTATAATTTTTGTATTATCTAAAACCATAAAATATTTGAAGAAAAAAATTATTTATAACAAAATAGAGAATTAAAAATCTGTTAAGGTTAAAATAATAAGAATGGCTGTGTAAAAAAATTAAATGACGTGATTTCGTGAAATGGTGAGACACGAGTACGTTTTTTTAATCTTTATTTTTAAAATCTGTTAAAATTTTTCATGGGAGGAAAATCGTGTTGTACTGTGTTATATAACACAGGTCAACATTTAATTTTTGAAATTAGACGAAAATATTTTTCTACAGAATTCGATTTCGATTCAGATCAGACTTGATCAACGATTGATCAATAATGTTCTTAAAAATATTATTATTATTATTTAAATATTCTTACCGGTACCAGCCCTGGTCAGATTCTTGTACTTCGTCGATTTCCAGTGCTCCGGAGGGTAAAACTGTCATTCTTAACTCGTCGATTTGCAACGGTCGATCGTCTTTAAACCATCGTATTCTCGTAGGTGGCGATGCGTTTGCTGAACAAGCGAAATGCGCTTTTTGGCCCAAATACACGGTTATGTTTTTCGGTTCTTCGAAAAAACCGTGCAATTCTGAAACAAATATGATTTATTAAATTAAGTTTTAACACAAACGACACGTCGCAATGTTCTAAATCGTTTTGCAAACCTGTTTCTTTTGCAAAAATGGCGAAAGCCGAAGTAGGTATATGAATAAATAAAAAAAGCTATACAAACAATGTAAAAAATAAGATAAAATATTATTTATTTGCGATCACTATGTAAACCGACAAATTTTGTAAACTTCACTTTCCACAAAGTCTGAGTAAAATTGGCCGATCACAAGGTTAGGGAATTTCATGAGATTATGTTGTAGTTGTGCTTGGGAAATATTATATTATTTATGTAATGTTGACCAAATTAAATAAATATTTGATAAAAAATGTGAAAAAGGTTGAAAATGTTCTTTACTTTCCTCGAGTGTAAGCATCGTAAAGCGTTGTGCACAAAACAAACGTTGTGCATAAGTAACTTCTTCTGCTCTTGAATAAATTGCTACTTACCACTCTTTATGTAAACTCCTATTATAACCTTAAATATGTATTTCCTGTTCTCAAAGTTGAGGTATTAATTTTAACCATAGACATATTACATGTCCATATTTAATGCCCATTGTTGTGTATTGTAAATGCCATGTGTGAACCGTACTGTACACTAACAGTGCTATTGTTAAGTTTACAAGTTTGTTTTGTGAGTTTCTACTTAAAAAGGAATTAAAAACGTAGGTTGCAATAGGGTATTTCCGCGAAACCTTACCCCACCTTGACAAAAAATCAGATGTGTTATTTAACAAAATAAAAACTATATCTGAAGTCAAATAGTTTAATTGCGACGTAATTTATAACCTTAAAATATTCGTACATTGTGATGCTAAGCAATACTTGATAAAATGTTCAAATTTTGAGAAAATTTTAGAATATAAAGTATACAATATTTTTGCATTTAAAATACGTCCTCGTTTAAGGTCACTATATATAGTATAATATTTTCAAGTTTTACACAAACAATTATTATGCTTTCATCCAAAATTTTAAAGTATTAACTTTAGAAACCAACTTAGTCGCGCCCGTTAAGCGATTCATGACGTTTTTATTGACATTTTGTTTGAGTTAAATATCTAATTTTTTATACTATTTTGTATATTAACATATCTTGATATATTTAAACAAACACTGTATTATCATGAAAAAATGCAGTGTCAGTGTCGCACCCGTTACAATGGAAATACCTAATATTAAAATTCAATGGTGTTTTTTCTGCATTTGGTTGTAAAAGTTAAAAAGTTATAGTGACAAGAAATAGACTGGAATACCCTTTGAAAAATCTATATTATTAATGAGAACTCAAAATTGGCTTTTTAAGGTAATAATATATATTGTGTGACTAGTGGAAGAAATAGGAGATTCCTCGAGCATGGGGTTTGCCGGTAATAATATATATTGTGTGACTAGTGGAAGAAATAGGAGATTCCTCGAGCATGGGGTTTGCCGGTAACACCCAAGTGGAATCTCCTTTCTGACCAATAATCGCAAAAAATATTTTATTCAACTACCGTAAGGAATTTAAAGCCAATTTTATTTAATATTTTAACTGACATCTGAAAACTGTTAAGCAGTTTTAGGTTAAAACTTTTAACCTCACTTTTTTTTCAATTAATATTTAAAGCAAACTTCAGCCCGTGGGCGAAGTACAGTTTTGTCGAGCGGTTAAAGTTAAGAAATGAAATGGGTGTTGAATAAAAATTAAACAAATAATTATTAAAAGTTTGAACTTTTTATTTATGGAAACATTTTTAATTTCCTTGTATTATCGACTTTTAAAAAAATATTTTATAGCCTCATCTTTGTATACCTACCTACCTATAAAATTATATTTTAAATTTGCAGTTTTTATCTTAAAAAAGTCAACACAACCGAAGTTAAAATAAAAAACTATTTAAAATTAATGCTTTTTATATAACCTAAAATAAAACAATGCAATCTATCTAATCCAAGTACTTTAAAAATAGATAAAAAAGGCGTACAAACTGTTCGCATTAGTTTAAAATAAAAAATGTCATTGATGTACCGTAAAAACGAAGTTGATTAACGGGATTAAGGCACTCATTTATTTTGAACGTCAATTCTTGGCAATCTCCGAGCAATTGGGACTTTTAAATGTTTCATTAAATTACCCAAAAAAAACGAAAAGTCTTTTTTTAAAGCTTTGATGAAAAAGTCTATTTCTGGCGTGGCTAAATAAATTGTATTAAGTGTGATGATTTAAATAAGATTACGAGGGGGTGTCCCAAACATATTAAATTGAAGGATTTTTAACTAATTATTACCTAAAAGTTATTTTAAAAATAAGAAACAATAGTTAAACCTAAACCTATATTATATTTTACTTATTTTTACAATACAATTTATGAAAGAAAATTATATTAACTTAAATGTCTTGCACCTAATTAGTAAGGCTTTGTCAGCACCTAATTTGAATTTTTTATCGCCAACTTTGGTGGGAAAACAGGTGATTAATAATCATGTGACAACCGCCCACGCAAATTGCTTAGAAACTGTTGAATATTAAAAAAAGTCCTTTGAGATGCGGCGCGTGAACTCTCAGTTAATTGGAAATTTTAGCTTTGAGCTTTATTCATTGGCATTTCCGCGTTTTGTGCCGTTAGCCTAAGCTCTTTATTATGTGAAACCGATGAAGTTATTGCTATTCATGTCTAATTATTGCTGGATATGTGAATTAAATCGAAATGCCAGCCCAAAAATATACAACGTGTAAACTTCCGTATTTACGAGACGGTATCCTAACCTTTTACCTTGTTAATGTACTTTAACGATGTATCGAATTTTTTTGACCTTTGTTTTGTTAAGAACAAAAGGTTGCCATTTTATTTATTTTTTATTTTATGAATTAGGTAATTCATGAACTAAATTTGTACCTACTACTCCAATCACTGCGAGGCTTATTAATTTTTTTAAATTTTAGTAGGTATATACTTTACTGATAACAGAGCATAAAATAAAGTATACAAATACCCCTTTTTAAAATTTTGTATGTAGATTTTTCAATTCACAATTATCTATTCTTCACCACCGTGTCATGACCCCAAACATAGTTTCTATGAATAATGTTTAGAATGTGTAGAATTTGGTTATGGAAAAAAAATTCACATTACTAAATTTTTAAAGTCGAACGTTACTACCCGTAACGCAAACGCCAATGCCGCGTGAACTTCAATCGCTGTGAAACTTGATTTTGGATACTAGGATCGGGTGACATATATACAGGGTGTACATATTTTTAGGGCATATTATATATTATACTATAATAGTAGACCCAAAAAGAAGACGTCCTTTAGCGTTTTTCGATCTGACTCGTCCTTTATTATTTAATTTAATTTAATTAGTTATTAATTAAATAAAGAAGTCAATCACAGGTGTGCTTTATAAGAATGACTGGAGATACGACAAACTAAAAAGAATGTCAAAAAACTAAACCAAAACACAATGACAGTGACAACTATACAACTAAGATAGTTCATAGCTATCGGATTTATACAAAAAACTATACACATACCTTAGGAGGAAAATGCATTTACTCCCTTGAATATTAAATGCCCTCTGCTTTGCGTAGGGCATCAAACTATTCGCGGGAGGAAAAGCACTATTTTCTTCCCATGGTACTAATAATATAATAGTTATTTTTAATTATACAATTAAGGTCAATTCACACTACAATAGTTCATAGCTATCGGATTTCTACAAAAGTGTTTTTATAATTTTTATTTAAAATTTTATTTCAGTATTCCAAAATTCAATGTGTTAATTAATTAACGCAATGCCTCAACAATAGACACAATGTGGGGAGAGCTCATAATATGATCAAATTAGATGCTGAACATATTTTCAGCAGGTAATTTTAATAAAAATTAAAACAAAAAGTTTTTAATTATCAATTAGTAGATTTTGAATGCTAAAATTATTAATACAAATATAAAAAACACATTTGACCTTAATTGTATAGTTGTCACTGTCAGTGTTTTAAATTAAGTTTTTTGACATTCTGTTTAGTTTGTCGCACCTTCACTCATTCTGCTAAAACAAGCCTGTGTTTGGCAACTTTATTTTGTGATTTTTGTCTTCTTCTTGGCACTACTATACGCCCTAAAAATATTTAACTGATTTTTGAGATAATCATTATTTTAAAAGTTTGTAATAATCAATTTGAAAATTAATTAATTATTTAATTATGTATTAAATATACATAATTAAATCATTAATAAATTTAACACGGTAACCATGTACGTCACGTACGGTACGTGTAATAAAAACGAATATTAACCTTTAATCTACTTATTCATACCTACACTTTGTTTTTGTTGTATTGTCTGCCATACTTTTCTAGTATTTTTCTGGTAAGTTTGTACGTTGGCACTCCGAAATCACCACATTCGTAAAAGATTCATTTACAACTTTTTAATATATTTTGTTGTTTTGTATTTACTACTTTCCAGTCAAGGAACTGTTTCCAAATAGCACACGTATGCTAAATATGAATTTGGGAATTATTACTAAACACAGAAGCGCTCACTCCTAAAATATCAAAGCTGGATTTTTTAGTAACCATTCCCAAAACAGTTCTCTTTGTGTTTATACATTTCCAACGTGGCTTTCCTTGTGTCGTATTTTCTTGGACACATTCCCTTTAAATTGCTAGCATTGTTTAAGTAACTATTTCCCCATAATGTTGTGAGGTATTATCAGTTATTTATGGGCAATTGTCATTTTAGTTTGCGCTTATCTTTAATCAACAAATAGGCCATTACAAATGCAAACAATAGAAACATTACAGCCGATAATAATTTCGGCGTGATATTCAAACCCAGAAGGAGGAAAATCCGCTGAGTATGCAAAACGCGGTGGCCAAATTAGTTTTGTGATTTTCATATTTTATAACTTTTCCTAAAGCAGAAAACGAGGGTCGGCCGGATTAAATTAATTTGCATTCAAAAAGTTTTTGGGAAAGTTTTTGACAAA